ATATATATACATATATCTTTTTCATACCATACGCCGGTATGGGCGCATAGCCGGCCCATCTCTAATTCCTCACGACAGGTTTGATCGATCTGCCCAAGCCACGACCTTCTCGGTCGTCCCACAGGCCTCCTCCACCCAGGGTTGTCTCGAACAGAGACAACCTGATGGGCAGGATCATCCTGCGGAAATCGAGCCAAGTGGCCATATAGCCTGAGTTGGAGATCACGGATTGTGCAAGTAACAGGTCCTGTACCGGTCTCACGGTGTAGTTGTTGGTTGGACACATGGTCCCGCCAACTGTACCCCATGATCCGGCGCAAGGATCTGTTACAAAAGGCATCGAGACGAGATTTCAAAGCACAAGATAGCGTCCAGGTTTCACTACCATATAGTAAAACTGGCAGTATCAGGGCCTTGAAAACTCGTAGGCCTCCAAAATCCTGGAACTTGGTCTTGGTCCAGGAGACCACTAGCCCCAGGGGCTTCACTTCATTGCTAAATGCATCAAGAGCCGCCACTAGGGTTTCCAGAGATTCAGAAAGAATGGCAACATCATCAGCAAAGTCAAGGTCTGTAACCTTGATATTGCCCAGAGTTGCTCCACAGTGACTTTGGACAGTAGCTCTACCCAGTATCCAATCCATGCAAGTGTTGAAAAGTGTTGGTGCAAGAACACAGCCTTGCCTCACGCCTGAACTAACAGGAAAGAAGCTCGACAGGCCCCCACCACACTTTACAGCACTTTCAGTGCCTGTATATACGAACTCACGACGGCGCTCTACAATGACTCGAAGTGCCAGGATACGGTCTATTGTGGACTTACCAGGAGTGAACCCAGATTGCTCCGGTCTTTGGTGCCTCAGGAGGTGGTCTCTTTTACGTCTCAGTAAGATGTGGGCGAGTACCTTGCCTGGTACACTGAGCAGTGTAATGCCTCGGTGATTGCTGCAGTCCCACCGATCCCCTTTCCCCTTCCAGAGAGGGATGACCACACCCCTCAGCAGGTCAGGGGGAATGGTACCGGTCTGCCAGATGGCAGACAGGACTGCATGCAAGCCCCTTGCCATAGATTCTCCACCAGTCTTTAACAATTCAGCTGGGATGCCACAGACACCTGCTGCTTTACCATTCTTCAGCTTGGAGATCGCCCCCTTGACTTCAGTCAGGGAGGGTGGATCCTCGCTGATGGGTGGGTCTGGTAGAGGAGTCACAACATTACCAGCATCCAAGTTACCTGTTGGTGGATCAACCTGATACAGCTGCTCAAAGTACTCAGCCCAACGCACACGCACCCCATCACGATCTGAGATTACCTGGCCACTTGCTGAGCGGACTGCCGTCGTCTGTGAGGAGGGCTTGGAGTTCAGCTTTCTTAGAGCTTGGTAGGCAGGACGAAGGTCATTTACTAAGAAATGGCTTTCAACCTCCTCTGCAAGATTACTGATAAACTGTTCCTTATCCCTTCTCAGCAGTGACCTAGTCCTGCGCGCCAGAGAACGGTGCAAATTGCGATCCCCTGACAATCGAGTCGCACGACAAGCTTCTGTGGCTTCCAGTGTCTCCTGCGAGATGGAATTCTGTCTTGCTCTTGGGCGTACACCAATGGATTCCTGAGCTGCATCAAGCGTTTCACACTTGAAGGAATCCCACATAACAACAGGGTCTGTTAAGCCCTCGAGTGCTGTAAGACGACCAGAGATAGCCTCAGCAAACCCCCGGGCACACTCATCCTCCCTCAGTCTGTCCAGATGAAACACCCTGGGGTGTTCATTTGGTCGACAGGGGGTTCTAAAGTGGCCACAAGTAGTCTATGATCAGTTCCACAGAACTCGGCGCTCCGATACACCCTGCAGTTCTGGAGGATCCTCCACCGACTGCTAACGAGGATGTGGTCGATCTCCTTGGCCACCCTACCCGTATCGCTGTACCAAGTCCAGCGATGCGGGTCAGAACGCTGATACCAGGAGCCAGAGATCCTCAATTTCTGGGAACTAGCAAAGTCACGGAAAAGGAGGCTATTCTCCCTGCCAGCATCAGCTCCTGAGCCATGGGGACCGACAGACATCTCGTAGCCAGCTCGATCACATCCGGATACCGCATTGAAGTCGCCCAGAACGATACGACTATCTCACCGAGGACAACTGTCTGCCACAGATGCAAGTTTGGCGTAGAACATCTCTTTCACCTCAAGTTTATATACATCCGTAGGAGCGTACAGAGCAATAAGAGACATGAAGCCAAATGACAGCTTCAGTCTCAATACCATTATACGCTCATCGACTGGAGTGACCTCTACTACCGAGGGTTGAAATCGGCTGGAGATGGCTATGGCTACTCCCTGGAGATGGTGGCCATCGCTGCGGCCCGACCAGTAGTAAGTGTAGCCACCCACCCTAATCGTGCCGCTGCCAGGTCTTCTCACCTCCGAGAGAGCAACCACCTCAACTCTCAGCCGTTTCAATTCCCTCGACAGTAGTGGTAACCGATCATCCTGTCGCAG